TCGACCAGCTGATAGCAATAATTATCAATACTTCTAACAAACGATCAATTGAATGCTATATTTTGCATTGCTGTAAACAGTTGTTTAATAATGATTTGTAGCTAATTTAACATTTGATTAATTACTGCTAATTAATACGATTCGCTCAATTATGTTTTGCTTAAATATTTTCATTTCACTTACTTAATATTACTAATTTTTCTTTAGTAAACTAACGAAATATAATAATAAATAAAAATAGAAGATTTTATTGAAAATGAGGAGGAAAAAAGAAACAAATTGGATGATCATGTAGAAATCACCAAAAGAATGTGAATTTTGAGGAGAAGAAGAGAAAAGAGACTGTTAAAATAGGGGGTGGAATTCATTTTTCATTGTAAAGATTCGATTGTATGCGCATCTGTCCCTTTTTGTACATTTAACTCTTCTTTATTTGACGTATGTATGCGCATGTTTATATGTATGTGTATATATGTGTGTATGTATGTGGGTGTATGTATGTATGTGTGTGTGTATGTGAGTGATTGTGGAAGAAGCAGCTGATCATATGGAATGATATTAGTCAACAAAAAATTATGTCTGCTAATAATGTCACTTTTTTGCTTTTATGTTTTATAGCGTGCACATGTTTATGCGTTAATTAACACAATGATATTAGGGGATGTCACTTGGTGAACTTTGACCTTATATGTGTCTACATTGTTAGCTTATATATTACAACCATCTAATCTTTAGCTATGAATACACACAGTACTCGGTACGATCTTCAATTTTCACCCTGAAGTTCGCTAAAATTATTAGTTTCAAGAATTTAAAAAACTTGATTTTTTTTGTTAAAACTTGATCTCTTTGCCAAAAAATTATTGAAATGTTCCCATATATAAGTCAAAGTAATTAATTTCATTTGTTTACTGCTGGAAGTATTATAGTTATATTTGTTAAAATTACCATTACATTGTCCGTGTCAATTTATTCTGATAATTAGCTTATTAGACTGCTAATATTTAGATTATATTTAAATATGATCGTTCATAATTCCCACCAAATAACTTTAAACGATAGCTTTTCATTTTAGCTTACTTACTTTGAAATTTGTTGATATATTATTGTGCTGCTCTTTTTGAAAAGTATTTCCATAACCTTGTTCTGTTTATACAATCGGTGTGATTTGGATACGGTATTCTTTCACATGTTGTTTATTTCCTTTTTCTTCAAATGTATAACAGATTTATTGGTAAACGATAATAGCGAATGGAATAGGTGTATTTATTTAAATTAAACTTGAAAAAGTACAAAAAGAAGAAAAACCTAATTTTAAAGTACTAGCAAAAAGGAAAAACTTAATGGAATAGTCTGAACTGAGGGGAAAAATTTACAGAAACTATTCCTATTGTTGTTTCTTATTAATAATTTCAATTCATTAATTAATGAACAGCAATATTGCACGTAATTCATTCTTGTATGAGAATTAAATTTGGCGAACTTTCGTTGTCATAAAATTGTCGAGCAATTTCTTCACTCTTTTTCGCATTTTAATGATCGATATAATTGGTCGATAAATTTCGTCAGCCGCTCTTAAACCCCAAATGAAATCCAAATGATTGTAATCGTTGAATTGTTTTCTTCGTTTGATTGACTTATTTGGTAACATTGATAGCAGTGATTCCTGGAAGTAAATCAAAGTAATCGCGTAATAATAATTTTTGTCTCATTAAAAAAAAAATTTTATTCATTAAAATAATTAATAAATGCTAGCATTTTTATTTGTCCAAATAAATTTTAATATTTGAATAGCTAACTTGAATATCTACAGGATTTGCAAGCCAATCATTCATACCCGAAAACAAATAAATTGGAACATTAACCAAACTTAGATTGTAGATTGGTGGTGAATCCTGGAGAAAAATTAAAATTGGATGTAATTTTAAGGAAGAAATTATAACTTTTTGAACAAAGTTTTATTAATCGTTCAATCATATGATTAAATTATATCAAATCTATGATTTAATACTCAAATTTTTGTTCAAATTTATTAAATTATTAATTTTCCTTTTTAAGCTTAACCTAAAAATGAAAATAAAATTTTACACTTCCATAATATATTTGATTCTCCTTCGTTGACCCATAATTATAAGCTTGGAATTTCCCGCTATTAACCATTTGTATCCAATGAATCATATTCATTACTGATGTACCACCTTGTCCTCCAATATATACCGATACACGGCTCTGCAGATTATTCATTCAATAAATTAAATCAATAATCCTTATTAAATGTGAAGATTATGTGTAAAATAATCATCAATCAAAAGAAAAAAGCAAAAGAGAATTGTAAAAATTTAAAGTTTCACAGTAAATGGATACATATACCTCATTGAATTGATTACTTTCGGGACCTGCTATTTGAAAGAGAACATCTCGGCATAATGGATTTAAAAAAGGTTTGTCACAAATTAGCATGCTAGTTAATTTTGCTAATTTGTAATCAAAAGCAAAAAATTTATCACCAAAGACTAATCGCATTAACTGAAATGAAAGTTGTTTTCATATCTGATTAATTGAAATATATCGTTTAAATCAACAATCATAATATATGAAATTAATTGTAGGCATTTTTTTCATAAACAATAATGGTAGATGGAATTAATTGATGCGCATTTTTCCACGAACACTAATAATTCAGGAAATTAATTGGTAGGCATTTTTCTTTTCAGACATTCATTTATCAAACTATTTTTCATTAATCACTAAAACAGGATGAAATGATATGATGTTATATCATATGAATAATACCTTATCATTGAAAAAAATTTGGTAGCAAGTATTCGGAATAATCCTTTTACATGAGCAACAGTTCCAACTGGTCCTAATGCAAAAAATTTTCGAATCTAAAAATTTTATTGTTGAAATTATATCTTTGGCTATCTTTGAAATTCCTTATTTATAAGATTTCAAATTCACCTTTCCTAATAAAAAAAAAGAAAGAAGCAATTACTGTTTGGATTATTTACTTTTAATTATCACCAATGCAGAAATAATGCAATATTTTCAAGTTTGCATTTGTGTATAATTTTTGAAAATATTAGATGAAATACTTTTTTCGTACCATTTTTTAATGATATCAAATTTTAGGATAAATTTATTGATAAAATCAAAATTATTTTTAGATTCAAATTTTGAGCAATTAAAAAAAAAAGAAGGGATGAAACCTTTGATGCAAATTCTGGATTTCGTGAAAGTTTTGCAAACATAATCGTTGTACCTTGTGAAAATCCCATATAATATAAACTTTTTTGTCTTGTTTCTCTTAATATCAAATCAAACATTGCATCTAAATCATACATTGCCATTTGATCCCAACTGAAATTTAACATTAATTAATCATGATAATCTCTTGATTTCTTTTTGGTTTTTCTTTCAATTTTTTTTTTTTAAATAAACTTTACTTAATTATCGTTTTACAAAAATTTTATGCTTATGGACTAACCCTAAATTCCAGTGTTCTTTTTTATTCCGATAATTTTTGATTAATTAACCTGAATTTCCAAAATAAATTATCCTTCACGGTATAATTAACATGATTTAATGCATATTTATTACCACGTGAATTACCAAGCCAAACATCAAATCCAGCATCAGCCAAGATGAATGATGAAATTAAAATTTAATTTGAAAATGGAAAAGAATAATTGAAATGCTAATTTCAATATATACAAATAAAAGAATTCATGATGTATTTTATCATTTCTGTCATCGAAATTGCGAGGAGAAGCAATGAATCAACAATTCCTTTTTTTGTGTAATATATGATGTAAGCAAAAATTGAGCTACCATTGTGTATCTATGTGCGAATACGACAATGTGACAATAATAAATGCGACAATTCTTGTGATCTAAGAATTTCATCAGAAGAGTTATGAGAATCATTAAACATTTCTTAGGATGTGTTTCAACGAGATCAGTTAGATAGACGATATCGGGTATTATTAAGGTTTCATTCCATATTATTAGTCATTAATTTATCCTATCGAAATTATTATCATTAAGCTCGTTATCATATTAACAAGCTTATAGTAATAAAGGTTTAATTATCTCAGTTTAAGGTATTATCAATCAAAGAAGCAAGAATAATCCTTAGTTTTGTCACAGCTGAAGAAAATTGTTGACAACCTCATACGTATAGGATAAGAAACGATTGATTTATTATTGATTGATAAACTTATCAAATAATTCATTAACATTATACAGCACTAATTACTCTTTCTGTATTACAATACTGTAATGGATGTACTCTTGTTTATATATGAACTATGTTTTTTTGATGTAATAAAAACTCTACCAGAAGATTGATTTGGAAGATTTCCTACCCAATCAGTACTTGAACCAAGTAAGCCATGTTGCAGTAAAATTACTGGACGATGTTTTTGTTTAGTAGAATAACCTAAAAAGTTTTCATAGAAATATATCATCTTTTTAATTAATACTCATCAAATATATTTTCATTGTTTTCATCAAATAGTAGTTAAGGATGCATATCAAAAATGGTCACTAATGATAAGTTGAAGGACATATCGAAATGATCGATTGGTCATTCTATCAAATAATTATTCTAAGGAATAATTGCTTGATGTATAATAGGATTATTATGAAGAAAACATTTTCACAATTGAATAATTAAGCTCATCTACAATAATCAATTCATTTTTAATAATTAAGTGCATTTCCAGTAATCGAGTTCATTTCCAGTAATTAAGTTCATTTCAAGAAGCATAGTGAAATTTTTTTTTTTCCCTTGGATATTAGGAAGAAAAGCTTGTAATGAAACTAACCGTTTCTGCCAAACGGAATACGGTGAAGATCTAAAATATAGCCATCAGTGGTATATGCATGAAATATTTGTGCCGGATAACCATAATAAAGTATTATTTCATCCTAAATGAATTCTTTTCTTTTTTCATATCAGTGAATGTGAACATTTATTTTAACAAGAATTGTAACAAAATTAGCATAGTTTAAATTTGTCAATAAAAAATTGCTAATATAAAAAATAATGATGTATATGGATGTTGTAATAATTTCAGTAATTACATCATAATAATAAAGTTACTATCTCAATAATATCATTTTTCATGTTACCGAATATACAGTACTTATGTGACAACCGTACGATATTTAAGAAATGAGATAGAAAAAACAAAAAGGAAACTTAAATATATGGTAATCATAAAGTGAAATTGGATAAAAAAACAACAATAAGATAAATTAATTTATTTAGCCAAAAAAAAAAAAGAACTAGCAATGAGACATTAAAGACAATACCGTTGTCATTTTCGCTTCTGGTGGTAAAGTTGAACAAAAATGTGCAGGTGTAATGATGAGAAAAATACCAAGAATAATGATAATCATATTGATAACACGTAAATTTGTCATTGTTACTGATAATTATTCCTCATTTATTGTTTCGCTTCTTTTTTTTTTTGCTACTGTAAAAAAATTGAAAATAATTTGAGAAATGTTTAATTTGCATTATCGAAATTGGATTTTCTTTTTCAGTAAAAAAAAGTATGAAATAAATCCGGAAAGCGACTGCTAAATTTCATTGCAAAACATTGTAACAGCTGTTAATAGCGGACGCATTCCGAACTGATATTATCATTATCCAGATGAATTTCAGTTGTTTGCAATTGTTAGTTAGGATAATGGAAAATAGATAGCATTATTATTTTTCAAATTTCATTTCTGAATGGAATGAAAAATTTTTAAAAGGTTAATAAATTTTTGTTAGGCTTAAAAATATGTCAAATTGATTTAAAAAAAAAAATAAAAATGAAAATGATATTCCATCTGTTAATTTAAGAAAAAATTCTTTCATCTATCTAATGGCATTGATAGCGGAATTAAAATGAGTAACATTGACTGTTATCAGTAAATTATATAACATCATTTTGTCCTTCCCAAACCTTTCTTCCATGAAGCCTGATTATAATGATGATAATATAGTACTGATTATTTAATTTTTTTAAAACGTCTTTATGTTTTTTTTTTTCCCTTTCATGCATATATAAACATATATATATATATATATATATATATAGCTATCTATCAATTT